TTATCCTAGAAATTCATTCTCTCAACACTTTTTTTTGTAGGTACGTACCAGGTGGGACAATCTATTGGCGTTAAATATTCAAAGTTATTATAACCACATAGACTACCAGCGAACGGAGCTTATAGCGTAACGTAACCTCAAATCTACACATTTTCAACATTTAAGGAATTTTGTTGTTGAAGGGGCTTTCTGCTAACTTGACAACCCTTCCAACTATGCCAAAGCGCTTTTTCTGTAGAAAGCGTGTTCTGCTTAGATTAGCGGTTCATGCCAGCGCCTCAAACCTACCAGTGATTAGTTATATGAGAATGGCAGGAAACGAGTGGCATATAAAAACTGCCGGTACAGCTCGTGAAGTGAGCGTTGAAGCGAGTTTGAAACACTCCATGGTAGCTGTCACTGCCTTCGGGTAACCGCAAAGGTTACTGCATCTGGCCAAGGATAACCGCTACAGATGTCGCACCTTTATGAAAGTGAGAGTCGAGGACATCTAAACCTTTTTCCGTGCATAATCACCTGAGAGAGAAGCCCAACTCAAAAGCCGGCACCATCACTTTGATTTGTACCGTCTTTACTTTAATAAACCCTTTATAATTCCTGTGTGCTTCTTGTTCTACGGTAGCTCCGGTTCATACGTACACGAATCTGGCCATATTACGTGTTAACTTAACCTTGAACTATAAAATTTTTGTGAGAAGATTGAATATATATCATGCTTGAGCTCTTGCATCTTTATTTAGCTCAAGACTGCATTTTGGTACAATTTTTAAGAATTTTCATGAAGCTGCACGCCATTTTTGCAGAAGAAAAAAAATGTTCATAACTTCGTTCCGAAAAACGTTCTAACACTAAAGGGGAATTTGTCATTTCTATCTATACGTGTAACCTAAGTGCAAGCAATTGAACTCTAAATTTGACAATGTCAATACCTTCTCTATCATTCAAACTATGTACAAAGGGTGTAGCACACGAACAAATGACTTTTTTCTTTCTTCTATTTATAAATTCTTAAAATTAATTTACTGAATAAATTCGTTGTTGGCTCACCCCGGTGTAATTCTTTCGGTGGATTTCTTGCGTCCTCTTTGACTTCGCCACTGGAAATAACACAAATCGCCTATTCTATAAGTTTTACTTTTAGGCGTGACTGTTTTCAGATCTACGCCATTACTAATTAGTTGTGAGGCTATTCTCTATTTACATTTTCATACCCTTGAATTCAAAAAGATATAATCAATATTAAATTTGGAAAAGAGTTCACTTCATTATTATAAGATCTTTCACAAACTTCGGTTGTGTTTCCATGTGATGTGTCGTAATTAATTCTGTAGCATGAATTCATTTAAGCCTTTTCAAATAAAGGCGTATACTTTTATTATTCGTTCATTGATAGAATTAGGAAACAGCGCTTTTCTCTTTGCAAAAAGAAAAAAACTCCAAAAAGAGTTCAAAATGATCTCTACTAGTGTAATAGTTAGAGCTAAAAACTTCGACGCATTGGATTTTCTTTCTTTTTTAGCGTAATAATTCCTTACAAAAATCCTAGAATAGAAGAGAAAGGGATGCAAATAAACGTAGCTTTCAAATTTTGTGGGAAAACATCGAATAATGTTTTACCCTATAACAGTCCACAACAAGAGGAGTCACATTTCACCCAATCCCAGCTCAGATTGCAGAGAGGCCTATTTTCATTAAAAATTCTTCATTGAAAAAGCATGGCTGATTTGGTTTTGCAAGTTATTTGTTGCATGTTCCTATTGAGTAAATAACATTTGGTTTTGTGTTGCAATTCTCAGCGCTTAACGAAGCAAGTCGTCAAATATCTATATAAGGAAGTGACACATGAAAACCGCAGCCATCTTTATTTTATTAGAGTAATTCGGAAAAAGAAGATTTTACAAATGTAGTGTTGGCAAAATGCGCCTCTAGGTGGTGTTTATTTTGTAGGCCACGCTCAATCTAAAAGTTGCATAAATAGTGACAAGTTAGTAATCAGGCTATTCAATTCTTAGTCATTTAGGTAACTTTAGGAGAAGAAGATGTTGCATTGATGAGTTATGAATCCTTTAACTGCTGAAAAAAAACATTTTTAGCTCAAAATACAAAAAAAAAGATCTGCCTGTTGCTCTTTTATCCTAG